AAAACATTTTGCAAATTAAATTTATTAAATTGATTAACTGCGCATAGTTGGAAATATTAACAAGTTTCATTGTGTGATTACTTAAAATATTTGAACATACAGCTTTATATGCAAAAATACCATTAAACACAGCAACACAAAATTGGTGTTTTTTTTTTGGGGAAAATTGCGCTATTTTCAGTATTTTGATGCTTTTTTAAATAAAAGATTTGGCGATCAGGGCTGCCAACTTCGCTCAAACCGTGCCATTTTTGGCACTATTTTACTTGAAATGGCACTGAATTTTTCAATTTTGCACAAAGTGCAAAAATGGCACTTTTGAAAAAAGCCAAATTTAAATACATTTTTGTGAAATCCTTTGCGTGTACTTCTTTTTCTCAACTAAAATTTTATAATTTCTATAGTGTATACAACTGGTTTACCTTACTTTGACATTGGGCTTTTGTTTTAATTTGTCTAATTTTAATGCTAATGGGAAGAACTCAAGAGAATGACACCTTTTTGGCACTTTTAATTTTCTATTTGGCACGTTTTAGCACTTTTTTATCCTCAATATGGCACTTCATAGCTATGCATGTTTGGCAGCCCTGTTGGCAAATTTGATCACTAGCTGACCTTCACCGAGCGCTCTTTGCTGGGTTCGGACTACAAACATGGAAGTAAATATCAAGTATTCGTAGTAGATGTGCATTTCTTATCTTTATAAAAAACAATTCATTTCTCCTCGTATCCTTGTACAAATAAGGAGCTAAAGCGGCCTTATAAGGGTCGATATCTGTAGACTGGAAAATCGACCAGCTAGTGGTTGAGATGTCATTTACACGGGTCGATTTTGGTTGAACGACAAAAATCTACTAGAAAATCGACCCGTGTAAAGGCGCCTTAATCCAGCGAGCAATTATCATTAAAGTTAAAATGCCTTGGTTAAAATTAATAAAAAGTTATTTCATTCTTTCTTTACCGGGACAATTGTTACATGGGTGGGCAACGACGCAATTACAGAACTTTAGACAGAGCAATATTTTTCGATCGGGTTCAAATCGGGCGATTGTGAGGGCCTATTCACGAATTCAAGTGTATTTGCAAAGTTGCTGTAGCTCACCAATGTAACAATCGTGTTGCTAAAAAGGTAAAATATAACTTTTAGTTTGCTATTAAAAACCCCACCTCCTTTCTATTTGAAGAGTAAATTTGTTGATGCAACAAAACGGAGCAGATTTTCAGTTGAGCGAAGTAGAGGACTAGGTTTCAAATTTTTTCGACAAAACGGAACAAATCTACTCCTATCGGAGCGAAGTCCGAACGATGTCTTATTGTGTATATGAGGAAAATGTATGATTTTATTTGGTACACAAAGTCAGTATTACCGCAGCCGTACTGTGATGAACATGATGTCGGTANGAAAATGTATGATTTTATTTGGTACACAAAGTCAGTATTACCGCAGCCGTACTGTGATGAACATGATGTCGGTAAGATATGAATAATTTTTTCGCAACTTTTCATACCCTTCCTCCCGTAAACTGTTTTTCCCTTTCTCCAGCGCGCGCTAGCACTTTCGCTACTGCGCGGGCAAAAAAGTGCCCATGTCTGGTCAAGTGGATGAATTCTGCGAGATTACAGCGAGAGAATGATCGATAAACTTCAGAACGTTCTAGAGTTGCCATGAATGCGAGCGCAGCTATATAAAAGCTCAATTAGTCTAGACGTAACTTAATTTAACTTACCGTAAGAAATCATCAATGATTACTCAACACGTCAACTTAAGTCAAGAGCGGAAATATTTTATTTTTGTATTTTCTTTTTCAGCTGTTTAACAGTTCGCCGCCTAAAATGCCACATCAAGAAAATTCATGCAAACAAAAAATTTTGCGTTCATTTATTTTTAAGAAATACAAAAACGAGAGTCTGGCAAGCCGGACTCTCTCACCACTCTCAATATCCGTAAGGCCGTAACTTAAGAACCTATNATTTTCTTTTTCAGCTGTTTAACAGTTCGCCGCCTAAAATGCCACATCAAGAAAATTCATGCAAACAAAAAATTTTGCGTTCATTTATTTTTAAGAAATACAAAAACGAGAGTCTGGCAAGCCGGACTCTCTCACCACTCTCAATATCCGTAAGGCCGTAACTTAAGAACCTATAATCTACAGGTTCTTAAGTTTCTTACGGTAAGTTAAGTTTTAACTAACCGCCAACACAGTTTCTCATATAACAGGTTGGCCAAAATGTTAAGTTAAGTTACGGAAATTAAGTATAGACTAACTGAGCTTTGAGACCGCTACCACAGTACAATGCAAGAATTTTCTAAAAAATCGATTGTTCAATACAAAGTCTGAAGCCGTCTTGAAACGTAAATATATGTTTTTACATAACTATCTACTAAAAATATCGCTAGCTTAGAGTGCAAAGTTGCTAAGTCCATTTTTTTTTAAGTTAGCAAATTTTCATTGTAAGCTAGCGATATGTAAAAATAAAATCAGAAAATTTGTTGGTGAATTCTGGTCGCTTAAAATCGATCTTCGTGATTTTGTCAAAGAGGAAGTGCAGAAGTGTTGGCCATAGAAGTGAAGTGAAAAACTTCGATAGTAGTGAAAACGGCAACACTTGTGTTGACCTCCACATTTCCATGTATTTATTTTGTATGCAATACTTTTTTGAAAAATAAACAAGGAAATTAATTAAGCGGGGGCAATTAAGCAGGGACTACATCATTTAATGCTCCAAGTATAAGGACTTCCCTCATTTTTAACTTCATTGAGTTAATTTAAGCAGGAGATTTTTTAAATATTCTATTTTAATTAGTATTGTAAACAGTAAATACCAGAGGCCGTATCGGTTATGTATTTTATAATAAAAGTCAAAAAATTTAAGTTATTTTTTACTGTTATCATTTTGAGCAAATAATACCGATTATTTCTGCTTTTTATTTTTTTTAAGGCAAAAATAAAAGTTAAAATTTGCCTTTTATTGTTTTGAGCAGAAAATAATCGGTAATTGTTGACTTTTATTTTTTCAGGCAAAAATAAAAGTCAAATTTAGAAATTAAGTATTCCAGAGCTGTGCATATTCGAATGTGATAGTTTTGAAGCTCCTACATGGATTGTAATAACCCCTATACCCAAATACCAGGGTTAGTTCAAATCTATACGCATATGTACACATACAATACATGAAGGGAGTCCTTTTAACGGCATCAGATCTGCACCGATTGTTAGATTTTCAAAACTGAGGTGCCAAATTAAAGGGCTTAGCCTCTAGATGTATGTACCACAAGGTATGATTTTTTGAATAAGGCTGCCACATTTTTTTAAATTATAAAATCTGCACCGTTCGTTGTATTAAAGCAGAAGAGGTGCCAAATGAAAGGGCTAGGCCTGTAGATGTGCAAGAAGGTCTCAGTTTTTTGAATGTGGCTGGCACCTGCTTCTAAAATGGAAGACTTACACCGTTCGTTGTATTTAAACACAATAGATGACAAATAGGGCTGCCACCTGCTTCTAAAATCATACGACTTACACCGTTTGCGTAATTTTAAAAAAGGTGCCATGTAAACGGGCTTTATCTAAAGATCTGCAAGAAAGAACGTCAGATTTACACCATTCTGTCGCGTTTCCAAAAGAGATGTCAGATGAAAAATATTGACTTACAGACATGTTTTAGTTTTTTTAACGGGTTGTCGCCTAATTAAAAATGCATTGTTTAAATATGACAGTCAGTAAAATGTCACAATATGGGCATCAAGCGATNAAGGTGCCATGTAAACGGGCTTTATCTAAAGATCTGCAAGAAAGAACGTCAGATTTACACCATTCTGTCGCGTTTCCAAAAGAGATGTCAGATGAAAAATATTGACTTACAGACATGTTTTAGTTTTTTTAACGGGTTGTCGCCTAATTAAAAATGCATTGTTTAAATATGACAGTCAGTAAAATGTCACAATATGGGCATCAAGCGATAGGGGTTTGAGACTAAATTAATATGTTGGTGTTTTTAATAGAGTTACCACTTATTCAACAAATTTATAACTATAAATGGTAAGTAATGTATTAAGGACATTCGATATTGCTATCAAACAAAAGCTGGTTAAGAGGGCTCTGTGTAAGTGTATGCGAATTGTCGATGGTTGTCATATAGTTTCTAATTTATTGATTGAAATATTCTAGTTAATTAAAATGTTACAAACACGGCAACACTTTTCAAAAAAATATAACGTTCTTTCTTGCAGATCTTTAGATAAAGCCCGTTTACATGGCACCTTTTTTTAAATTACGCGAATGGTGTAAGTCTATTAATTTTAGAAGCAGGTGGCAACCCTATTCAAAAAACTGAAACCTTCCTGCGCATCCACAGGCCTAGCCCTTTCATTTGGCGCCTCTTCTGTTTTAATACAACGAACGGTGCAGATTTTATAATATAAAAAAATGTGGCAACCCTATTCAAAAAAGTCATGCCTTGTGGTACATACATCTAGAGGCTAAGCCCTTTAATTTGGCACCTCAGGTTTGAAAATCTAACAATCGGTGCAGATCTGATACCGTTAACAAAAACTCCCTTCATTTGAACTAACCCTGGTATTTGGGTATAGGGGTTATTAAAATCCATGTAGGAGCTTCAAAACTATCACATTCGAATATGCACAGCTCTGGAATACTTAATTTTTAGCTTTGACTTTTATTTTTCAGGCAAAATAAAAGCCTGAAAAAATAAAAGTCAACGGATTACCGTTTATTTTCTGCTCAAAAAAATAAAAGTCAGATTTTAACTTTTATTTTTGCCTTAAAAAAATAAAAAGCAGAAATAATCGGTATTATTTGCTCAAAATGATAAAAGTCATATTTTTCAAAGTCATGGAGGAATCAAAATCTACAATGAGAGACGAGTCTAATGGTACCTTTGAAAAGGCTATAGCATAATTTTTTCACTATGCCTTTCTGATATCAAAAATTTTAAAATAACTTTTATTTTCAGTCTCTGGTAAATACCTTTTTTATTTTCAGCGGATCGCATTATCACGGGCAATGGCAAAATGGTCGTCGTCATGGGTTAGGTGTGGAACAAATTGGCCGCCAAATATATCGTGGGGAATGGTCTAAAGATGGCCACAAAGGAAGATACGGAATACGTGAGAGCACGGTTTCTACTGCCAGGTACGAAGGAACTTGGAATATGGGCTACCAGGATGGCTACGGTTGTGAAACGTATGCCGATGGAGGTAAAGATTCATAACGGTTTTATCACAGCCACCAGTTTTTTTTTTAATTAAAAGAAATAGGTACATCACTAGCTTATAGTGAAAAGTTGCTGATCCACCTTTTACGAAAACTTATATTTTGCATCGTTTACAAAAAGACCGAAATACTTATTTTATTTCCGCCCATTTCCAGGCAGTAAAATGAAAATTTGCTGACTCTAGAAAAAGGAGCAGAAATTTCGATATATTCAAAGAACACATAAAATCTTCATAATCTTCAAACTATACCAATTTATATGGAGTTATGGAAAAATGTGGTTATCAGAGTTTTGCAAATTAGTCAAAGTAAAAGAAGTTTTAGAATTTTTCTTTCTTTTCGATACCCACATATTGACAAGTTTCAACTATTTACACTTTTATACTTCTTTTGTAGGGATGTGCCGGGTATCCGGTAGATATCCGGAATCCGGCTTATCCGGCCGTTTTTATATTATCCGAATATCCGGCCGAATACTGGGTAAAATCCGGCCGGATTTCCGGATTTCGATTAACCCTTAATTAGACGCATAAAAAAATGACACAATTAGTCGCGTGTGGTCCCCAATAAAAGTGTTGAAAAAAGAGTTTTCAAAATAAAAAACGAAGTGTGTATTATCAAAAATATTAAAGTACTCTGCAATCGTTAACTTAAAAAAGCAAAAACATAATTTCGACTTCAAACTTAAAAAACAAAAAAGTTAAAAACCTACCTCCGCCAAAAAATGTTACGTTAGTGGTCACATGGGGTCAGCACGCACTGTTCTAGCCGTGACTAAATAAATAAAACGAAATGTGTATTGTCATAAATATTAAAGCTATTTATTAGAGTTAACGTTAAGAAAGAAAAGCATAACTCTGACTTCAAACTTAGATACAAAAAAACTTACCTCCGCCAAAAAAGTTTACGTAATTGGTCGCTGGGGTAAGACTTAAACGAGGAGCGACACATGCCCTGTAGTCAAATGTACTAGTTGCAAACTACCTCACAACTATTATGAACCGCATGCCCAACTAGTCAGCCAACTATCTTTTTTCCATGCAATCAACTGGTATTTTTAACATGGGGATGTCCTACGAGATGGCAATTGTCAGATTTCGATCAGAAATATACCATACTATCATACTAGTTCAAAATAGAGTGAAAAATACTAGTCCAGTTATGGACCAAAACCACTACTTTCGGTGTCAAAAAAATACAACGAATTCAAGAATATACAATAAAAAACTTTTGATTAAGTACATTTTAATACATTACACATTTTTATTTAGCAGCCTTAGATTTGCCAATAATTAGTGTTAAATTTTTTTAGTATAAATAAGAAGGAAAAATAAATACATAAATATTTCAAACTTTCGAACAAAAATTTAAATACATTTTCCATTAAATGATATTAAAAGTAAAAACTTTCAGGCACAATAAATACTATATTTTTATCTTTTTTAATAATATTGAATATGGTAAAGAAAACATTTTATATAACTTATTTTGACAGGGCCAAATTCCTTACAATTTTGTGTGCTGGGTATAAGCTACTTCGGCCGTTGGAATTAAAGCGAAAATAAAATTTTCCTTTTTTACTCCTACGCGTTTCAACGACTTTCGCGCCTTCCTCAGGGAGTCTGCTTTATTTGAACGATAAACAATAAACAATAAACATGGTTAACAATTATCATAACATACACATCAGAATTTGAAACTCACACTTTACAATTATTCACATTAAACAACAATAATTACATGGTTTTAGCGCAGCGAGTTTACATTACTTTCTTTTTGTTTTGTTTATATCTAGATTTTAATATAGCTGTGTAGGCGTTGTTTGTGTTGTCCACATCTTCTTTGAAATTCATCACATTGTCAAGTTTCTGTTGTATTCGTAGGCTTTNCTGTAGTCAAATGTACTAGTTGCAAACTACCTCACAACTATTATGAACCGCATGCCCAACTAGTCAGCCAACTATCTTTTTTCCATGCAATCAACTGGTATTTTTAACATGGGGATGTCCTACGAGATGGCAATTGTCAGATTTCGATCAGAAATATACCATACTATCATACTAGTTCAAAATAGAGTGAAAAATACTAGTCCAGTTATGGACCAAAACCACTACTTTCGGTGTCAAAAAAATACAACGAATTCAAGAATATACAATAAAAAACTTTTGATTAAGTACATTTTAATACATTACACATTTTTATTTAGCAGCCTTAGATTTGCCAATAATTAGTGTTAAATTTTTTTAGTATAAATAAGAAGGAAAAATAAATACATAAATATTTCAAACTTTCGAACAAAAATTTAAATACATTTTCCATTAAATGATATTAAAAGTAAAAACTTTCAGGCACAATAAATACTATATTTTTATCTTTTTTAATAATATTGAATATGGTAAAGAAAACATTTTATATAACTTATTTTGACAGGGCCAAATTCCTTACAATTTTGTGTGCTGGGTATAAGCTACTTCGGCCGTTGGAATTAAAGCGAAAATAAAATTTTC